TATTTTGGCTTTCGTGGACTTGTTTTCATTTTCTTTAGCTTCAGTTTAAATTTGCATATGAGTAATTGATGGTCTGTTCCACAATCTGCCCCTGGCCTTGTTTTGACTGATGATATGGAGCTTTCCCATTGTCTCTTTCCGCATATGTAGTCAATTTGATTTCTGTGTATTCCATCTGATGAGGTCCGTATGTATAGTCGTCTCTTATGCTGTCTAAAGAAGGTATTTGAAATGAACAAATCATTGGTTTTTCAGAATTCTATCATGCATTCTCCAGAATCATTTCTATCACCAAGGCTATATTTTCCAACTACTGATCCTTCCTCTTTGCTCCCAGGCTTTGCATTCCAATCACCAGTAATGATCAGTACATTTTGATTGCATGTTTGATCAATTTCAGATTGAAGAAGTTGGTAGAATTCTTCTATTTCATCCTCACTCACTGGCTTTAGTGGTTGGTGCGTAAATTTGAATAATAGTGATATTAACTGGGCTTCCCTGTGGGCGCATGGATATTATCCTATCCCAGACAGCATTGTACCTCATGACTGCTCTGGGTATGTTCTTTTTGACAATGAATGCAACATCATTTCTCTTCAATTTGTAATTCCCTTCATAGTAAACAATGTGGTTGTCAGATTCAAAATGGCCAATACCAGTCCATTTTGACAACTTCCAATTTCCCATATTCATACTTCATACATTCCATGTTCCAATTTTCAGTGGATGTTTATAGGTGTTTCTCTTCATTTTGAGTTGTGCCCCATCAGCAAATGAAGGCCCAGTGGGCTTTTCTCCCAAGGGCTTTACTCCATTCTTGTCATCACAGTCAGCTCTACTTTGCGGAGGCAGCTCTTCCCCAGTCGCATTTTGAGTGCCTTCCAACCTGAGGGTCTCATTTTCCGGCACTGTATCTGACAGTGTTTCTCTGCTCTTCATAAGGTTTTCAGAGACTGAATATTCGGAAGTAGTTTGTAACTCCTTCTTCCTAGTCTGTCTTTGTCTGGAAGCTCATCCGAAACCTGTCCACCATGGGTGACCCTGCTGGTATTTAAAATACCGTTGGCATAGCTTTCAGAATCACAGCACCTCACAAGCCACCACAGTACAACAGACTAACAGATGAGTGGTGGGCCTCCTGAGGTACATGATATCAAAACTCAAACCAAACCCACTGCAATCAATTCTGACTCATGGTGACCTTTATATAGGGTTTCTAAGATTAAATCATTATGGGAGCAGACGGCCTCATCTTTCTCCTGCAGAAAGGCTGGTGGGTTTGAACTGCTGACTTTGTGGTTTGCAGCGCAATGCCTAACCCACAGTGCCACCAGGGCTCTTTGAGGTACATCATGCTAAATGCTATTGAGTCAGTTCCAACTCATAGTGACCCCGTATAGGTTTCTGAGGAATAACTGGAGGGTTTGAACCACTGACCATGCATAGTCCTGTGCTTATTCTACAGTGCCACACCATGACAGCCTGCTCCATACCTTGAGTGTCCTCCTTGGTGCTTGTCTCCCCAATAGGCTGGGAATTCCTGAAGGGCATTAGCTCACCTTCATTTTCTCCAGCTCTCCTGATGACCTCTCCCCAAATCTCTTTGTAGCTTCTTTGGTTTCTATGATGCAAATGAGACAGTCTTGGAGATGGAGGAACAACTGGTGAGTCTTAGTATCATGTCCCCTCTCTGCATGCACTGTCCCACCTCCTTCTGGAACTTTTCCTTGCCACTGACTCCTGATCTGAAGGGTTCATCCTGTGGGAGGGGGCCTGGCACACTGACAGTCACTTACTTTATCTCCTTCT